AAAAAAAAAAAAAAAAATTATTACCAAAATCGATAGGGGATTATTAGAAAATTCTGTAAACACATCTAGGATTATTCAGGCATGTAAACAGTGGTAATTAAATAACTGCAGTCTGTATACATATCATAGTCACATCCTTCATATTTGAAATTTTAGTATAAAATGTTTAAACCAAAAAGCAATAGTCTTTAAAGCGTTTTCTGTACTTACCACTTCCAAAACAACTTCTTGGAACAGTTTCAAAGCTTTGTAACCTTGGTGATTATAGGGCGTATCATAGAGAGGGCTAATTATATCTAACAGTAAGACAACCGAAGTGAAAGTTCCTTGAGCAACTACTGGAGAGAGGCTACAATGAATAATGATGATATTTACTGAATACTTGCTACATGTCAAGCAGTTTCTATGTAAGTAAGAAATAATTCCATTTTATAGAAGAGGATAATGAGACTCAATAAGCTAATTAATTTGTCCAAGGTCACACACAGTTAGTTAAGTGGCAGCAGTGGGATTCATAACTAGAGTGACTAACTCCAAAGTCCACATTCTAATGCAGTGCTGCCTCTCCAAAAATGTTCATTTTCTGTGTATACAGGTAGCTATCTGAATAGGGTAATATATAATCCATCAATATTTTTTATAGAGCCTGACAAGCAATGCTTATGTATGACTATCCAATATATGCATTTACTCTCTCATAAAATATTAATGTGTCTTATTATGTACCTGGGCTTATAAAAATAAATAAGACAATCTCAGAATCAGAAGAGTTCACAGTTCAGTAGATGAGACAGACTAATTTAGATGACAATTTGAAATTTAGATAAATGAGGTGCTAAAGGAATACAGCAGAAGGACTGACACCTAACCCAGACTTAGGATAAAGTGACTAATGTCAGGTCAGAGAGGATAGTTAATCTCCTCTTGTATCCTCCTGTTGTATCCTCCAGAGAGGATACAACACAACTAACTCCTTAAAAGGGGTTAGAGGCCCCTTTTAAGATCTACTTATAGAATTATTAGAGAGAGGAGGCCAGGCGTGGTGGCTCATGCCTGTAATCCTAAAGATGTACACTTTAGGAAGCTGAGGCAGGCAGATCACGAGGTCAGGAGATCGAGACCATCCTGGCTAACACAGCCCATCTCTACTAAAAATATGAAAAATTAGCTGGGCATGGTGGCAAGCACCTGTAGTCCCAGCTACTCGGGAGGTTGAGGCAGGAGAATGGCGTGAACCTAGGAGGTGGAGCTTGCAGTGAGCTGAGATCACGCCACTGCACTCCAGCCTGGGCGACAGAGCAAGACTCCATCTCAAAAAAGAAAAAAAAAAGAATTATTAGAGAGAGGAAGAGGGAGACGACAAAGTCTTTTACAGCTGGGTGTTGGGTGTTAGAGACCCAGTACCCCAGCCTGACATACCTACAGAAGCAGTGAACTTACTTATTCACTGTTATGAAAAAAATAAATGCTGCCAGCCCTGCACAACAGAAACCACTATTGAATCATATGGTTTTAGCCTTCACCTTTAAATATGTCTAATTATATGACAGAATATAGAAGTATGCTTTTAAATATGAACTTACACAGTCATGAGTCCTTATATTACTTTCTAGAAGAAAGTCTGTCTCTTCCTATCTTACCTTAGATACATACACACAGAAGTACAGATGTATAAATATATAGATATGTTTGTGCATATATGTGTTTGTATGTATATATGTATACTCCATTCACTTGATCACTTAGTATTATTACAAAAATAAATATTAAACTTGATAAAGCTGTCGAGAAGATCTTATAAAATCAGATTGCTTTTGGAGGGACATGTCACCCAGCCTAATGAACCCCAAGATGTAAGACTAGCTGTGGGCATAAACACAAAACCCAGTATTTCTCCTAAATGAAGAAATTTCTTCCTCAGTCTTCCTTGCAATTAACTTTCCTCGCAGGCCCAAATGAATGGATCATTTATTATAGCTTTTCCATGGATATCTCTATTAGTCTTTGCTGTGAACCTTGTTACTTAACCTTTCTCCTCAATTGAGGGGTCCATGATGAAATCTTTTACAATCTCCCATTTATCTCTTCCCATTCTCTTCATTCAAATATTGTTTACATAGCTGCACAGTACCAAAAACAATGAGATATAATGGAAGAAATCCGTGAGGAAATCCTTGTTCCCTTGAGGCTAATGCCATTTGACTATACTATTCTTTTACTTTTCATCTCCATCACCAGCTGACTCCTGGTCACTAAGCTCACAATTTTCCTCTGTACGCTAAATGCTGTCATCATCTTGACTGACATCCATATCCAAGCAGATAACTAGCCTAAGCAATAACTTAGTCTCGCAGTTCCCTGACCTCTTCAACAATAATGACCTTGACCTCCACTCATTCCCAGCCACCTATTTCCATGGCCACGGCTTGGAACTGTTCCATTCTGAAAATCTTAAATTAAAATGCCCCACTCTATTGTGAAAAGATGTATACCAAGGTATTAATAATGGCTGCCTTGAAAGGCCAAATTATGCATATTCTAAATGTCTGTTTTGATCACGCTTTGATTTTTCTGAGGGAAACACTACTTTTGCAATAAAGAAAAAAAAAATAAGAGAAACTTTATCACTCTGATAACAACTTCCTATTCTTTCAAGTGTCAGAATCTCCTACAGCCAGCAAATCCGTTTTTCAGTCTCATCAAGACCTCCAGACTTCAACCTCTTCCCACGGATTAGGTGCCCTTCCTCCATGCTAACATAGCATTCAGGGCTCACTTCTATCATCCATCCTGGGAATCACACCGTATTGTAATTATGTGTTTACTTCTTGATCTTTCTATTTATATTCCAAGTTCCTTGGGATCAAGTAACATATCTTAAGACAATGTACCTACAGATAGTATCTAGCTCACTGACACTGACTTGAACAAACACACGTGTCTGGATGAATAAGTAAATATTGAAACAGCCCTGATCTATATGAGTCAGACTTTGGTTCAAGTTCTAATTCTGCCACTTAACTGTTGTATGACACTGGGAGAGTCAGTCAAGTTCTTTGAATCTCAACTTTCTGATCTGTAAAATGGGGTGATAATCCTCATCCAACCCACTTCATAGACTTGTCAGGATGCTTAAACAATGTATCTAAATGTTATGTATACAAATTACTGCTTGTTCAGGCTGACTGAAATACAGAACCTCATTTCCTAGAATTGCCCTTTTTGGTTCACTGGAATCACCATTTTATTGCTACTTGACATGAATAGTTTCAGAGCTGACTAATCATTAATTGCTCCAGATTGTTTACCCTCCATTCTCCTAAAGAAGATAAGGCACAGCTAGGGATATCTGTTGTCCTGATACCATACCCATTCCTTTCAGAATGAGCATATCATTATTCAAACATGGAGAAAGGTTGCCCAAGGACTTCTAGGAGAATGTTTATAGCACTCTAATTCGTTATGTCTCCACCAACTCCAAGGAAAGAAAATAGGAGATGAGAGAACTGTTAAAGGGAATGGAGAGTGAATTATCACCCTCATAAATCTGGACTACAAATAAGTCGATAAAGAGATCTCTAAACCAAACTAATAAAAATGTATCCAAGTAGGATCTGCACCGGGAGTCACTTTTTATTTTCTTTATCAGGAGATCCAAATTCAAATAAAGGCTTATTTCAGTGGTTCTCAAATTCATCTGCATATTAGGAATCACCTGGGATCAGCCGGGCACGGTGGCTCAAGCCTATAATCCCAGCACTTTGGGAGGCCAAGACGGGTGGATCACCAGGTCAGGAGATCGAGACCATCCTGGCTAACACGGTGAAACCCCATCTCTACTAAAAAATACAAAAAACTAGCCGGGCGAGGTGGCGGGCACCTGTAGTCCCAGCTACTCGGGAGGCTGAGGCAGGAGAATGGCGTGAACCTGGGAGGCGGAGCTTGCAGTGAGCCGAGATCCGGCCACTGCACTCCAGCCTGGGCGACAGAGCGAGACTCTGTCTCAAGAAAAAAAAAAAAAAAGGAATCACCTGGGATCTAAAAAATGTTCCAAAGCCTAGGCCATACCTGTTATGGACGGAATTGTGTCCCTCAAAATCCGTATGCTGAAGTCCTAACCCTCAAAGTGACTGTGTTTGAAGGTAGGGCCCTCAGGAGGTTATTAAGATTAAATGAGGCTATAAGGGTAGGGCCCTGACCTCAGGTCTTAACAGGACTGGTGTCCTTATAAAAAGATACACCAGAGCCAGGTGCCAGTAGTTCCCACCTGTAGTCCCAGCTACCAGTTACTTCGCAGGCTGAGGCAGGAAGATCACTTACGCTTAGGACTTCAAGTCTGTAGTGTGCAATGACTGTACCTGTGAATAGCCACTGCACTCCAGCCTGTGCGACATAGCAAGACCACATCTCTACCAAAAAAAATTTCAATAAAAATAAAGAGACATTAGAGATCTCTTTCTATTCATGCACACGCAGAAAAAAAGCCATGTAAGGACACAGTAACAAGGCAGTAGTCTACAAGCCAGGAAAAGAGGCCTCACCAGAAGCCAGCCCTGACAGCACCTTGATCTTGGACGTCTAGCCTCCAGAACTGTGAGAAAATAAATCTCTATCGCTTAAGCCATCTATTCTGTGGTATTTTGTTATCGCAGCCCAAGAAGGCTAATCAGTACAACACCCAGACCAATTAAATCACAATCACTCAGAGTGGGACACAGACCACAGTATTTTGGGAGTTCCTAGGTGATCTATGTCCACACAGGCAAGTTTGGGAACCAATGCCTTATTTCATTTCAGCTTGGAACTTTGAGGGACCTAGGCTTTTCTTTCCTGTTATTAGGTTTGCAGAAAAATAAGAATAAAATCATTAGTAATTTATAAGACCACAACAAAACCTGCCTCAAAAGTCATCTGGAAGGGTGTTACCCCTGTCATGTCCTGAGGATAGCTGCCTTCCTCTGAAGTCCAAGTCAGCTTTGCAGAGATTCCGGGCAGTATGGACTGTATTTCTGTGTGAGAAGAAATGGCAACAAAGTCAAACAAGCAGTGTGGGTAAGAACCAGGATTTCTGGATTTGTTTATTAAACTGGTGAGACAAGAAGGCTTTTCTCTAATGAAAAGATTATCTACAAGATTTAAAATATGACTGGAAATGGCTATGCATCAGCAAATTGCTTGAACATTTAGAATTACTTTATGAGATTAGGACATTTAACCTCATCTTTTCAATATTTTACATTTGCTAAATCAATTTTTATTTTCTGTTAATTTCCACAAGGTCATGTTTAATGCCTGAAAGCTTCAGAATTGATAGTTCTGATATTCTTGTATTTTTTAATTAATCAACTCATTATGTAATAAACAGAAGTCTAGTACATGAACTAACTTAGAGCTGAAGGCTGAAAAATTCAAGAATGACTCTCAGGCATGAACTTTTTTTTCTTTTTTTTGAGTCAGAGTCTTACACTGTCACCCAGGCTGGAGTGCAATGGTGCTATCTCGGCTCACTGCAACATCTACCTCCTGGGTTCAAGATATGCTTATGCCTCAGCCACCCAAGTAGCTGGGATTAGAGGCATGCACCACCATGCCTCTAGGTGATCCGCCTAAGATCCGGATCTTAGGGACTACTGG